TAGCCTGACTGTGTCCACGTCTATATAAACTCTATTCTCTGTGCTCTTCTGCTTCAATTATCGTCCTCCCTTATTTCGCCATCCTTATGAACATAACAAAATGCCACTCGCTTGGATGATGCCCAGGTGTCGGTGAGAATTCTGCTGCTTTCCAAAAACATTCACCGTACTCTATATGATGGCTTCTTATCCACACTCTCAATATCTCAAAAGGCGGCCTAAGCGTCGGTCTGTTCTTCTGTGCGTGCCTAAAAAACAGAGTGCCACGCACCGATGTCCTTCTTCTTTTGTTTCAAACAGTCGTACATGGATGGTTGTGTGATTCCCTAAAAGATCTGCAATCCTACCAGTGCATAGACTTGGGCCTCTCTGATTTTTATTTGAATTGGAATGAAGTTCATGCCGGATTTTAACATGACTGCCGACTGTGTCGGTGGTCTTGAAAGTGTCAAAGCATCAAAAGTACATGCGACAGAGTGATGAGTTCACCATCTACCATTTCCAAAAAAGCGCAACCCGATACTCATGTCTACCCTCTCCCTCTTCTTCGCGGTCTGAAACGTCAGATATCGTATACACTCCATCGGTTATCTCCCATCGCATACCGTTGCTCAAAAGCGAATTAAAATACCTCATCCGATTTATGGCTGCCTCTGCATATCTTCGGAAAACCGATGGGAAGCTTGATGCAAATTTCAAAACACCTAGCTTTCGAGGCCATGGTCTTCATTGCCTGTCGCGGTCTTTGCAAGGTTTCAAGGTTTATGTAAAAGCCAGCAGCTAGTTCCAAGTAACAACTATATCGGAACAGGAATAGAGCGTGGTGCGAGTGGTATATAAGTCGCCCGCTTGCTCAATACTCAACTTATACCATCATCCTCGTCGTCTCTGGGTATTCAAAAACATGTTTATACAGATGGATATCTGCTTCCTCAGGAATCTTTTTTAAAAAGCCACATGACATAGCATGGCGCTTCTTCTCTCAAAGATGACTATAATGAGGTTATGGTTCTGTTGTGGTCCCGCAAACCCCCAAAAGTTATTGTCATATCCGACATGTGTGCTTCGGATCTAGATTAGTGTTTAAACATATGTTTGACTCTTTGCGCGATACACAACTTCAAAACTACTCACTTCATATCTCGAAGAAAGCCAAAACCTCTTTACCAACACGTCATGTGCGGTCTCTCAAAAATAGCATGCTTAGATGAATGGAGAGATCCTGTCACTCTTTCGACTGAGGGAACATAGGCACTTTGTTTGGAGAGAGCCGTTCCTCATCTGTTGCCTACTGTGCACTACCCGAGCGGACGAGCTTGAGCAAAACGCGAGATACTCTGGCAGATGATCCAGACAATTGATCGCACTGCCTTTGTCCAAAGAGCTGAAACTAAAGCGGCATGTTTGAGCGGAACTACGTTTGCCACGTGCCTATGACGGTCTTCGGACTTGAGTACAAAATCTTCGGGGTCTTGCTAGATCATCTTTTCTACAACGTTGAATATGCTGGGTCGTTCCTTGAATCAAGCACCTTAATAAGCATGGAGCAGGCCAAATCCTCTTTCCAAAATCTTCCCTAGGAGTCTTGATGACTTGATATCGAGGTCGCTACAATATGGAATTGGCAGTCGCGTGCCACTGGATGATCAGATACGGAGTCAAATATTTTGATTCAATTCGTGATTTGGGTCATGGGCTGCCAAAACAGGCCAAATTGGAAGACATGTCTTTCCCCTTTGCTCACATCTTTCTCTGTGCTCAATTTCTCGATTTGAGCGGAAGTAGCCCCTACACGATCCAACAAGGTACAAAGAGGCGCCCGCTGGAGTGATACACCTTCGTTCTTGTCAAGTTCGCATTGAAATAATTCTCCGAAAGAGTTAGAGCAGACAGTCATGTTGTTGCCTCTAGCTCGGCAATTGAAAGTCTCGCTTCTACCAGGACATGTTCGCAGGTGGACTTGGCTGTACACAATAAAGAACGTCGAATCTGCAGTCATGGCCATCATTTGTTATTATTTCCTACCTGTTTGCATCTGCGGGGTAAGCAGAAGCTGGGGAGATCGCGGGGTAGAAAATGCCTGGCCAGTTGGGAAAAGAAAAGCGTGGCGGTTCTGAGCGATACCTGGAAAAAGACGGTTACATGTTTCCTGTCTCTTGCATGGCTTACACCGTACATTGGCATGCTTCGAAAAAATCCCACGATTCTAGGCCTGGAGGAAGTATGCCCATCGCTTACGTGCCGGAAAGCTGACTACAATGACGCTTCGTTTAATCGCAAGGCGGGGGTGCCAGCTCCGAGAACGATACCAACGATCGACGATCGAGTAGCATCCGAACGTTTGGGGGCGCATATTGTGTCTCGCGTCCTGGTGTGCGACAGCGGCTTCGCGATAGTATGTTAGTAGTATGAACCTCTGTCGGCGCAATCTCTTGCTGTGTGAAGCCGAAAGTTTGTCTCATGGGCTCGAGCTCGCTTTCCTGGTGAGGCAAGCAGCAACCTCAAAGGCACCGGGAGCCCGTAGATCTGGTAGCAGGGTCAATGTGCGAGTAATGATGGTGCAAATCTCCACGTTGTGACTGTGTGAAGCGAAGCCCATGTCCCAGCTGAACACTGCCGCGGCTGCAACCGAAAAACGTGGAGTCAGGCAGGCGCTAACGACGCTAAGTGGCTGCTAGCTGTCACACATCAATCCTTCAGCGGCATCTCGGCCGCGCCGACAAACTTCTCATAACAACATCGGCGCGTGGACAAAACAACGCACTGGTCAGTCATGCTGTTCTGTCATCGCTTGCATCTGAGTTCGGGTCCTTGTTCTACACATACCTGAGCGCTGCGTTGGCCAGCACGCCACCACAGGACGCCATGCAACTTCTAGATTGACCAAAAGAGCTTTTAGAAAAGAAAACATGAAGGATCTCGTCAGGTACCGGTCTGAGGTGCCGCTAACCGATGCGCTGCACAACACATCTCTCGCTTCGAGCGCAACTCATCCGGTGAAAATGAAAGCGCTCTGAATTCGATACAGCCATCAAGCCCAAAACACCTCATCGCGTTAGCGTTCAGCCCTAGCACCCCTGAGCAAATCAGCCCACGCATCGAAGAGTGCCGCTTGGGATATTCGACTATTCTCACTCGCACGGAAGCTCATCCGCTGACTAGACAAAACATCAGGCCCATGATGCCAAGTCTCGTGGCTTGCGTTGCTGGCCTCAGGAAAGTTGTAGCGTTGCTGCATTTGTTCGACGAAAAAGCCACCAGCTGAAGTTTCAGCACAATGTGGGATTTTGGAAGGCTAGAACAGCTTGACATGGGAAACTTTGCTCGCTTCTTTGCTTGGGGAAATGGATGACAAGGTGGTATGATGGCTTGTATAAGGAGACTGATGCGCCGCGATAGTGTTGAGGTGTAACTGCATCCTCCAGGCGCTACAAATACGCTCACACTCGTTCTAGTCTATCGCAATTAGCTGAACGACATACCACGTTGACTTACATTCATACAAACCTCTTCCAATCATTGTCACCGCCCTCTACAGCGTCGGTCAACCACACCTCAGCCAAAGCCAACCACCATCTTTCGATCACAATGTCAGGACCGTCAGGTAAACTCGGCGGTCTTTCCACCAGTGTCGTCGCCATCATCGCTGTCGGTGGTGTAGCAGGCCTGCTAGCCCTCATTGTCGTTACGTCTCTCATCTTGGACATACCAAAGCGTATGAAGCAAAAGAAGAACACTGGCCTCATGGCACCAGAAGAGATGGAGAAGAAGAGTGTAGAGATTGACGACGCGGAAAAGGGTGCTATCAAGCAAGCGACAAGAGAGATATCAGTTCAATCCCCGAGCTTGTATTCAAGCACATATATTGCTCGGCCAGCGTCGCCAGAGTGTCAATGCGCCCACCCATCGATAGTCGTACATCCCTCGCCAGTCTATTCGAATACCACAACGTTAAGATGAGTTTATCGGCACTACATTTGGTGTTCTACGACACCTTTCTGTGAATACTTTATCCATTCGCACACGTCTACACCGCCCGGGTGGGACCGGGTCAGAGGACATTTTACATTCCAAGGTTACCTTCGGCGTTAAGACCTGGAATGTTCTTATAACCTTCCAAAATAACTGTTCAGATGAGACGAGAGCGTCACGGCCGGAAGTTTGATACCCTGTTTGATGGATGTTCGGAGTTAACTGTTATCACCGTTGGGTAACGCAAGGCTGCGTGTCATGATACTACGTGAAAGCCCTATACACTACGGTCTAATCCTACTTGAGTACGATTATCGGACACTCTGTAGTATACAAAGCAGATTGTTCACTTATGTCACTGCGTGTCGGGACATCATTCGGCCGAATTGCATGTGTTACACAACACCTGCATGATCGCTTCCATGCAGCACGGTAGATTGCAACTGTCCACAATTGCTCGGCGTCAGCACTTACGATAGTAATGAAGAAACCAAAATCACTCATCAAGAAAGAAGACCATTATCGTTCGTCGAAACCTCTATGATCCGTTCAGACGTGCAATGTTGACACGCTGCGCAGTACGCACCTGTGCAGGCTAGTGTGAAAGGTCGTCGGTCTTTCCGTAGCGCACATCTCACGACAATCTTATGATGGAGCGGGATTAGCACTGTGTTAACGCATAGCATCGTCAGCGGAAGAAGTCTTCGGTAATAAGCGCTAACCAGGCGAGGCCACCGTCATCCTCGACGTTGCCCAGTTGTGTATCTAGACCGGACGACTTTTCGCCCTATCAAGGCAGCAGTCATGGCCGCTCCGAAACATGCGGGTGCGACTACACGGTACTACCGCTTACTCACGCATGATAAGAGGTGGAGATATACTCAGCAGGTATAAAGACTGAGTATTCTTTGCACATCAAAGTCAGCAATTGAACCAGAACATACAAGCTTCAACCTCTTGGAGTCTCTCACGATCTTACTGCACTTCCAATACCTCCCACATTCACTACGCTGAACACATCATCCAAGATGGCAGACTTCAAGCCGTACAGCGAGCAACCCGAGCTCCACGCCAAAGCACCCTACCGTGCCGCTATGCTCACGCAACCTGCAAACCTCAAACAAGCACTCAAAGACGCCCAGGCAGATGCGAGCAAGACTCTCATGGGCATCGCGCAAGGTATCCCAAGCACCTTTGTGACCAAGTTGATTGCCTCCACCAAGCCGGATTTCATCTGGATGGATGTTGAGCACGGCATGTACAACAGGTTGACGTTACACGAGTAAGTTCTCTTCGATCCAATTGCGACAAGACTTTGAGAACTTGAATGTGTATAAGAAACCAATGCTAACCTTCACGATAAAGTTGCATTCACGCCGCTCAGCATCATTCCGAGGGTAAATCAATGGTCATCTGCCGTGTACCGAAGCACGATGAGCTCAGCCTTACCACTGCCCTCGACGCAGGATGCGCCGGTATCGTCATCCCACATGTAGAGAGTGCGCAAGAAGTCCGAGACTTCATTAAGGAAATGTACTTTGGCGGTATGTCCCTCATATCTTTACCATCATCACCTATTCTGACACAATATGTCTTCCCAGGCGGCAAAGGCCATCGTTCATTCAGCCCTTGGACATTTACACCTGGTATGGTACAATCGCTCTACCCCAACGACCCCTACAACGTTCAAACGGCCAACAACCACGTCTGCCTCATCCCCCAGATCGAATCTCTAAAGGGCCTTGAGGCTTGCGAAGAGATTGCTGCTGTAGAGGGCATTTCCGGTCTCATGTTTGGTCCTGGCGATTACATGATTGACGCTGGCATGGACATCCATTCATTCATGAACGGAAACCCCGATCCGAAATTTTTCGAAGCCATGGAGACATTCAATGCTGCGGCTGCCAAGTATGATCTGCCTATCTTTGGGTACGTATATCGCATGTTACTTCGTATTGGGCCAGACGGCTGACGGGTGCTTTAGTGGTGTGATGGGACTGGATCAGATACCCATGGCTATCCAAACTGGTATGCGAGGTATCGCAGTGCAATTCGATGTGTGGGGTACTACACGGCTCTTTGCGAGTTCTTTGGAAGCGGGCTGGAAACATGCGAAGAGCTTTGAGGGAAATCCGAAGCCGAGTATGGCGAACGGACAGTCGAAGCCGGCCGAGTAGGTAGAGGCTTACGAATGCTATCAGAAGAGAGACATCTCATCTTTTCCGTATGACTTTCGCCCACCAGCAGTACCCCGTGATGCACAAGGCTGAAGACATCAGGCTGCCAAGCTCAACCCCGATGAGCAATTTTTCCAAGATCTTATCCGAGAGAGCACCCTCATTGGTGAGGTCTCGCTAGGCATTACTAGATCCGGTCCCTGGCTATCCAAAGGCTGAGGTTCTATCGCTTTTATGAGGCTGGCGTCACCAATCATAGGAAAAAGTGTAGTAGTTGGCTGAAGTGAACGGCTGGAGTGGTGTGGGGGCCGTTCGGGGGAGATATGATTATCCTCTCGACTTGCGCCTTGCCAGTCTCTTCATATCCTCGTCCGTTCTTATCGTGTGCATCGACGAGGCTACTTCAGACTCATCGGTATCTTGTTTACTGCGAGCGTTCAGGCAAACGTGGCTCCAGATCCCTACATTGCAAGAATATGTCCCTCTTTCTCTCCGCGTTCATCACGACGCTTCCCCTGGCGGTTGTGCCGTCTTCTACAACACCTCCGGTGTCGCTTGTCATGACGCAAAGGTTCAGTTCGACTCTAGAGACCGTCCCGATCACTGTTGTCTTCCCTTCCTCATATTATGCTTCCTCTCCAACATCCATTGCAACAACAATCCCAGCTACACAATCTTCAGTGACACCTTCCTCATCCGCACTTCCAACACCAAACATCATTGCGCCAGCCTCAACCTCTCCCAACAAAGGCTTATCGAGCGGGGCAATCGCCGGCATCAGCATCGGAGCCATACTTGGAGTCCTTCTCATCGCAGTCGCCGCCTTCACACTTGGAAGACGCAGCTCTTCTCATCAGTCATCCGCGAGCGACCTTGTTATTACTGAACGCGATGGTCCGATAGGTGGAAACAAGGCAGAATCGGAAGGACAGGAGAGAGCAACAGTGAAGCTCAAAGGACGAGGCATTGCGCGGTGGTGGAGCAAGAAGTTCAGCAATAGCGTGAAAACAAGGGCTTTGGACGAGGCTGAACCACGAGAGTTCTCGGCTGAAGAGGCTAAAGGTGAAGGTCATGTACGACAGATACGGGTGCGAGATGAGGATTTGCCAGAGTTCCGTGGGGTCTGAATGTCTTTTCTGAGAAGTTTTTAAACAGTGATTGAATGAAGCACGTTTCCCAGTCGCTCCTCCATCGCTGTTGCCACTCTACATGACCATCGGAACACGCGAAGTGGGCAGTGATATATGGTAAGGATAGATCCGAGTTTACCGTAGTGCTGGGCGACAATCCTGAAAGCGATCGTTGTAGCGCACTCCAAAAGAGGATATAGATCTTCCTGTCAGGTAAGGCGTCCGATGTGACGAGGCTGAGCGTGCTCCGCATCTTGTGAGTCTGCCAATCAGCCTTACCGGTTGGCGGGGCGGTTCCTCGCGTGCATGCACTTTTCCTGAAGCAGCTAGCTCAGTGCTACTCCAACGAGAGAAGGATGCACATAGCCCTGTGTTGCCATCACTGTGTTGTGATATAAGTAGAACGAGTAGATCGTCTCGCATACATAGTTAGTGCTTACTGCATTTCCTTGACACAGGATCAATAAGTATACGTCAGAGCGGAATTGTATCAAGGGATTATACCCATCCCATCTTCATGTCCTTCCCAACTTCAGTATCGATTTCAGATTGCGAAAGAGACTCATCCGGAAGCTTAGTCTGTATGTCTAATCCAAGTAGCGAGTTCGGTCAGTATGCCTGCCTCCCTCACACATTTGAGTCTCTAATATGACGCCAGATGCTAGCCGAAATGACATGAAAGACACCTTCGGTGAGTCCGACCTCCGAGTTCGCGGCCGTTTAATTTGACTGACATCAAATCAGACAAAGCCGTCGACGCGCAACAGAGGATGATCGGCATTGGTGTGGGTGTCGGAGTAGGACTATTTCTTCTCTTCGCCGGCCTGGGTTTTTGGGCTTTCCGACGACATAGCAAGAAACGCTCGCGACAGATCAACCAGCAGGCGCAAATACAATCGGCTCTGATGCAACCGAGGATGCAACAGACGGATCCGCCGCAGTCCTGGATGAGGCAGGGCCAGGAAGTGGACGGCATGGCATACAGGAGTGAGGTCGAGGCTCAGGACAAGCAGCCTCAGTACCCGTCACAACACTACCAAGAGATGAACGCGAATCCGTATGGGAACCAGTTCCAGGGTGGTCCAATGGTCGAAGCGCAGGGAACGCGGGATCCTCAGGAAATGGCGTTGAACCAGAGGCCGGCGCAGGAGATGCCGGGGAACGGGGCTTTTGGACAGCGCTGACCTAGTTAACGATATAACTGTATCGATTGACCGACATTAACATGTGATGCGACATATAACAACATGCTACATGGGTCGCAAAGTTCCAAGTTTTTGATGGTCAAGAGTTTGGATGAGTCCAGCCTGTCGCGTCTGCCAGCTTCGCGTCGCGGGTGCCATGGTCCGTGCACGACCAGCCATCACCCAACCACCACATTTCCAGCCCTCGAGAAATTGCGCAGCACGACAGCAGCTATGGATCTAATAAACGGATACCTACATCGTGATTCCCACACTGTGCTCTGCCAGCGCATACCCACACCGAAGCCGTGCTCAACACGTGTACACGACTATCAACGGCGCAGTCAATAAACCATCCCAATCCTTTCGATACCATGCTTCTCAACGCTCAGACTCTGGCACTGGCCGCTTTTTTCTCAACACTGGCTACCGGACGGCCTTTGGACTCGTCGAAGCCCCGCGAGATTGTCCCACGCAACAAGAGCTATTCGGTCGTCAATGTCGGTGGAGACGCCTCGACCCCGGTCGCAACAGCCACTTCGGTGATCAAGACAACGAAGACAGTCGAAGTCGTCGGACCGGCACAGACTGTCACCCAAGAAGTCACTGCGACTGTTGTCGAGCCTCAACCGGCGCCCGCGTCGACATCTAGCTGCAGCTCGAGCAGTATGTTGAAGTCGTCATCATCATCGTCAACACCCACACCAGTCTCGTCCACTCCTACGCCAACACCTACATCAACATCATCGGTCAAAACTACATCAACTCCTAGCCCATCGGTTCCTTTGCCAACATCAACTGCAACACCGACGATCTCGAGCCTGTCTTCCAGCAGCATCTCAACGCCAGTTGAGACGCCGAAGCCAATCTTCGTCACGGTCACGCTCTCGCCAGACAACGGCCCCACGGAGTACTATGACGATGGCATGTGGCACACGCATTACCGGGTGAAGACGTTCGAAGCCGCTGCAGCTGTCACCGCGGCGCCATAGCTAGCTGCGTAATACCTGCGGTCCAGACTTCTTCGGTGTTTTTGCTTTGGCGGTAGACTGGCTCAACCCGCCTGTTCCTTTCTCCCTGTGTTTTACGATATACGAATAATGGCCGGAAGCCAGCCTGGTACGGCGAGGATTTATGTTGTGAAGATTAGACACGTCTTTGCGACGAATGCCGATGTACCAATAGATTAAGTAATAGATGCATGCACAAGCCCAAGTTTTGACGCGGCAGAGTGATGATGTGAAGGCTGATGACGCAGGTCGAAGGGGAGCTTGCATCCCTGCGTGCTTGGCGAACGGTTACACCCAAGGCGGCGGTGCGTATCCACGACGAGCTCTCCACACCCCCGGACGATCCGCCTCTCTCGCTCACAATGGCGTCGCCGCCCCCCGTAGAAGACCAGGCCCGGCTGCTCGAAGATGCCCTGGCCGTGGTGCGCCAACAGACGATGCTCATGCGGCGCTGCCTCGAGACGCCGGGCAAGCTGATGGATGCGCTCAAGTGCAGGTACGCGCACTACCCACGTATAACATGTGTGTATGCTAATGACCCCCATGATAGCTCGACCCTCGTGTCGGAACTGCGCACCAGCAGCCTCGGCCCCAAGCAGTACTACGAGCTGTACATGGCCGTCTTCGATGCCCTGCGCCATCTCTCCGTCTACCTGCGCGAGAACCACCCCGTCAACCACCTCGCCGACCTCTACGAACTCGTCCAGTATGCCGGCAACATCATCCCGCGCCTGTACCTCATGGTCACCGTCGGCACTGTCTACATGGCCATTGAGGATGCGCCCGTCAAGGAGATCATGAAGGACATGATGGAGATGAGTCGCGGCGTCCAGCACCCCATCCGCGGCCTCTTCCTGCGCTACTATCTGGCCGGCCAGGCTCGCGACTGCCTTCCGTCGGGCGACAGCGAGGGGCCCGAGGGTAATCTCCAGGACTCCATCAGCTTCATCCTGACCAACTTTGTCGAGATGAACAAGCTGTGGGTGCGCCTGCAGCACCAGGGCCATTCCAGGGAGCGCGAGCAGCGGACCAAGGAGCGCCAGGAACTGCAGCTCCTCGTGGGCAGCAACTTGGTCAGGCTCAGCCAGCTGGTCGATCTGGACAACTACAAGAAGATCCTCAACCCGCTGCTGGAGCAGATTGTGCAATGTCGCGATGTCTTGGCCCAGGAATACCTCCTCGAGGGTATGTATCGGATTGCCCGCCTCAGGATATCACTAACGCGCATCAGTTGTCACCCAGGTCTTCCCGGACGAATTCCACCTGCACACGCTCGACCAGTTCCTCTCCGCCGTCGCACGCCTCAATCCGCACGTAAACGTCAAAGCCATCGTAGTCGGCCTCATGGATCGATTGTCGTCGTACGCGCAGAGAGAAGCCGAGTCGGAAAGCCCAGAGCAGCGCAAGAAGACGGAAGAGGAGTCAATAGCACAACTCATGGAGCAAATGCGGATAGCGAAGGAAAAGAAGGCCGCCGAACCCGAATCAGCGCCAGCGCAGCAGAACGGAGACGCAGAGGAACCCTCAGAGACGCAACCAAGCACCGAAGAAGACTCCGAAGAGGCATCGAAACCCGCAGAGACCTCCGCCGAGAACGACGAGACCCCAGCAACCGAGACAGATGGCGATATCGAGAAGAGACGCGGCATACCGAACAATGTCAAGCTGTTCGAGATCTTCCATGAGCAGGTGCAGACGCTGGTCAAGATGCAGCGGCTACCAATACAAGACACGATCGGACTATTGGTGTCGCTAGCAAATCTCGCCTTGTACGTCCCAGCATATTTCCTAAAATAGCGACGATACTAACATCCATAGGAACATCTACCCCGAAAGACTCGACTACATCGACCAAGTCCTGACGTTTGCGAATCAAAAAGTTGCCGAATACGCCAACAGCGCCGACCTGCACTCGCAAGCAACTCAAAGCCAGATCCTCAGCCTCCTCCTTTCGCCGATCAAGACCTACATCTCTCTCTTTACCGCGCTCGCATTACCCAACTTCATTCCTCTGCTACATTCACAACCATACCCGACTCGGAGAGCCGTGGCTGGCGAAGTCGCAAGAAGTCTGATGCGGAACCAGACCTACATCGCATCCGTGGAGAACCTCGAGAGTGTGCTGGAGATCTTGAAGGTTCTCATTCGGGAAGGCATCCAGCAGGCGCAGGGATACCCAGGAGGACCGATTCAAAGACGGGCACAGGAGACGGAAGAGACAATAGAAGAGCAAGGATGGCTCGCGCGGATAGTACACCTTATTCGCGGCAAGGACAACGATACCCAATTCAAGGTGAGTTCAATCAACGTGCAGACCATAGTACGTACTAACAACTCCCATAGCTCCTCCAAGCCGCACGCAAGTCCTTCGCCGAAGGCAACGAGCGCGTCAAGTACACATCCCCCGCCATTATCACAGCATCACTCAAGCTCGCACGGCAATACAAGAAGCGCGAACACTTCGAAGACAACTGGCAATCACAATCATCCGCTCTCTACAAGTTCATGCACAGTACACTATCGACACTCTACACGCGCGTTACCGGCTCCGCAGACCTATCCCTCCGCCTCTTCATCGCCTGTGGTCAAGTCGCAGATCAGAACGGCTTCGAAGAGGTCGCATACGAGTTCTTCGCGCAGGCGTTTACGATATACGAGGAGGCCATCAGCGACTCAAGAGCGCAATTCCAGGCTGTGTGTGTCATTGCGAGTGGCCTACACACAACAAGGAATTTCGGCAAGGAGAATTACGATACCCTGATCACAAAGTGCGCGTTACATGGAAGCAAGCTGCTCAAGAAGCCGGATCAGTGTCGCGCAGTGTACCTCGCAAGCCACCTGTGGTGGGCGACTGAAATCAGGGCATTGGGCGAGGAGGACCCGAAGAACGTAAGTAGACCCAACCCGACTTTCAAGAAACCAGTACTGACTAGTACAGCTCTACCGCGACGGCAAGCGAGTGCTCGAGTGCTTACAACGTGCTCTCCGTGTGGCCGACGCATGCATGGATGCCGCGGTCTCAGTCGAGCTCTTCGTTGAGATTTTGAACAGATACGTCTACTACTTCGACCAAGAAAACGACGCTGTAAGTTGCCATCTTGCAAACTCCGAAGGTTTTCTAACGATTACTAGGTCACGACGAAATACCTCAACGGTCTCATAGAGCTCATTCACTCCAACCTTCAATCCAACGAGAACGCCTCTTCGCTCGAGAACCCAAGGAAACACTTCCAGCGCACCCTGGATTACATAGCGAGTCGAGAATACGAGGGTGTGGTAACAGCGGCAAAGTAATGTTAGTGGGAAAAGGAGATGCGGCGCCTCTTTTGAGTTGGAAGTCCTTGTACGACTAGATGGACATGGATATTGCACGCTCGTATACCAAGTACATAGTATGGGAAAATGGAGAACGCTAATGAAGTCGAATATGTTGTAGCACAGCACGCATTTGCCAAGCGTCTTCATGACCACTTGCAAGAAGTATGGTGATGACCACCATCGCGACTATACGCAGCATTTGCTAATGCGCTAGGATGTATTTAAATTATCTCTACGCCTTTCTACTTCATCTCTCTGTCACCCTGGGAACTTGGTCTTGTCTCCAAAAATCACCAGAATCCACATAATGGAGTTGCTCGGTGCCATCATTGCCTCAAAACACAATCAACAAATTCTATGGCTTTTTCTGATCCGCCCAATGTTACTCTTGTATGATCAGCAACTACCCTAGACGAGAAAAAATTGTATTTGCTTCTTTTCTCTAAAAACTGCTACTAATATCCATTTTGGTCGCTGTCGTCTTCTTACATCAGGTACTATCCCGAAACGAAGATCGAAAATTCGGATGTTGGTGGCTGTGGTCGCGACTGCTGCGCCCATTGATTGAAGCTGTGGTTTCAAAAAACGAAAGCAACCATGGACATGAGTTTGGACTTCCGGTGGACTGACTTTATCAGAAAACAGTCTTACGACTATTCATGGACTGCTAGGAGGTTTGGCTGAAGTACAAAAGATGACATCTTCCTCTCATGTCTGGGAAGTCTTCTACACTTTACCATTTCATTTTCAGCACCAAAAACTACTCGATGACGACGTATGTGTTCCGCCGGTATTCCTCCAAATTCCATCGAAGAGAATGACATGGATGTCCTTCTCCGTGTGGACTTCAGCGTCTGCCTTTAAAATGGTGTCCATGTGAATTGATGGTGTGCCTTCAGGCTTTCTCAAAACTGTCCACCACAGCCTACATGGGCCTTCCTGGGGCTCTTCATCATCTCAATAGCTTATACACCAGTAGCTTCTACACATCTGCTACCTGATTTGTAACAAAAGCCAAAGGTGGAACTCTGCTGTGATATTTGGAATGCGACTGTGGCAGACAATGAGAACAAAAAGTCATGCATGTTGATATAATGATCAGGTGGGAGGGAAGGCTATGGGGAAATGTCGCAACAGGTGTTCGAGCACCTGTTAGGTCAATCACGTGCTTTCTCTCTTTTGTACTAGTGTATTACGCGATCCTCTGTATATATTACGCTGCTCTCGTCTAATCTAACAAGAGTAGTGATTACAATCCCGATCACCTAAATCTATTGTTTCCAGCTCGATTTCCTCCACAGGAAATGTATCGCCATGTATGAAAAGTGAGGAAAGCGAAGGACGTGTCGCTGTAGTGCTGTGGGGTGCATCAAGAAATGTATAAATTCCGATCTGGCTTTCTGATTCTTTCTCCTCGCATAAATTCCAACACTTCTTCTTTTCAACAAAAAATTATCAAAGCCATGGGAATGTGTCTGGTCTCTCTGTTCAAATCGAGCGTGGAAGCTTACGATGTCGTCCATCGATCTCATAATCAGGGCATGGTGGAACTCAAACTACTACATAGATTCATTCAAAAGCTGATATGAAGCTGATACGTCCTTCTGCAATACTCACATCTTCAGGCCATGGTCATATCAGGCAGCGCTCCTTTGTAAAACTCG